GTAGAATAGTTCCCTTTCGGGACAATTTCCGATCCCAGCAGGTGTTCCGCAAGAGAGTCTGCTGGGACCACTGCTTTACAGCATCTACACGTCGGACATCCCTCCTCTAGGAGACGGTTGCGTGTTCTTCCTGTTCGCAGATGACACCGCGATAGCCGTCAAGGGTAGGATGCCTCGTGAAATTACGAACAAGCTCCAACGATGCCTTGACACCTTTACTGATTATGCCACCACGTGGAAAATCAAAATCAACGCCTCGAAAACCCAAGCGATAATGTTCCTTCACAGACAATCGCCAAAACTTAAACCGTCTCCCTCCTGTACCGTAATAATGGATGGTACAAGGGTCGAGTGGTCCGCTGATGTTACTTATCTCGGGATGTTGTTCGATGAGAAGCTCCTGTTCCGCTCGCACATAGAGAAAACCCTAGTTAAGTGCTCCGCCTTGGTTAGGTGTTTGTATCCGCTCATTTGCAGCAGATCCCGCCTCTCAAGGCAAAACAAACTGGCTGTCTACAAACAAATCATAGCCCCCGCGATCTTCTATGCCGCCCCGGTGCGTGAATCGTGCGCTCAGACCCACAGGAACAAAATCCAGGTTGTACAGAATAGAGTGTTGAGGATGATCCTAGATCGTCCATTCGACACAAGAATAGCAGACGTCCATCAAGAGGCAGAAATTCCCAAAGTAGATTCCAAAATTAAGGATATGACAACCAAATTTATCCAAAAATGCAATCTTTCTGAACATGCTTTAATAAGCAATGTCTACATAGTAGGTTAAGTGTATATAGTAGAGTAAGTTAGTTTTAAGCTGTAAATAGCAGTATTAAGTAGTTTCTGTTCAAATTCTAAAAACAAAACGAACCAATCCCACCAAGGTGGTCGACCGTGCACTAAGTCTAGGACTAATTCTGTAAAACAAATTTTGAATTTTGCCTATACCTAAAGATGAAGAAAGCAATTAAATCACTTAGAAAAATGAATATGGTAATCATCCAAGTTGAACTGATATAAAGATCATTTAAAGTAAAAGTTTTCCCGGCATTCAATTGGCGGACGGTGAGGAGAGAATATCTCCATAAAAGCAGCAGCAGTGCCCCACCAGGGTGTGCAAAGACACAGGTCATTATCTTTCTACACTCTAGATCTCCCAGACTTGTTCCGTCGGAGAATAACAAGATCTGCCTGAACGGCACAGTGATGGAATGGTCCAAAGAGGTCGTGTACCTCGGGTGAACTAGACAGCAAGCTTCTTTTCAGGGAGCACGTTGACAAAACGAAAACCAAGTGCAACATCTTGATAAGATCGTTGTATCCACTTATCAACAGGAAGTCAACCCTGTCCCTTAAAAATAAGCTTGCTGTCTACAAACAAATCATCCTTCCTGTAATCGAGTACGGTATGCCAATCTGAGAGAGTTGCGCAAAATGCCATCACCTTAAACTCCAAATGATTCAGAACAAGATCCTTAGGATGGTCCTAAACAGTCCCCCGCGGACTAGAAATTCTGAGATCCACCTACTGGCTGGAATTCAGACATTAGAAGAACGGAGAGTATTCATCCTGGAAAGGTTCACCTGTCTGAGATCAAATCATCAGATCATACGTGATCTAGCACGTTAGGCTATGTTATACTCGTAGTTAGGTAGGTTATCACTTTTTTCAATTCAAATAAAACACATCCCCAAAGGGGTATTCTGTAAACTAGTTGAAAAACGCAAATATTTAATTAGAATATCAAATTAAACAAAGATGAAGAGCCAGATAGGCTAATCAATTAATATGATAAATCAATGTACTACCATAATCAGCAGAAATAAACATAATTTTACTACTACCACCCGGGCTCATTCGATCGTCGGACGGCAAGTTTTTAAGAACTTACCTTACCATTACCGTGTCATCTGCTACTGCTAAGAGGTCATTTTCAGGTCATAGGCTACTGAAGGCCTATCTACGTTCAACCATGGGACAGCAAAGGTTGAACTCCGTTTCTTAATTACATTTTCATACGAACATGGCTAATGGTCTTGATTTGGATGTCATCATGACCCAAGCAACACGGCTTGTCATAAAGAAGTTTAAAATACTTTTTAATGACTTACGTAAAGAATCAATAATACTGTAATATACGTCATTTAATACATTTATATAACCTAAAAAGCGCAAGACGTGGAGTTTATACAACTAAATACTGGTCTTATAACATGTTTTGGTAACATCATAAAAACCAGCGGCAAAAAAAACAATTAAAAAAAAACTTTAGAGCATGGGATTCGATCACTGGTCCTTGGCGTGGTAGACTTATTACTTCCTAACTAGACCAACTCCGCTTGATGAGAGGTTTGTTATAAGTATCTATGAGGTTCTTGCCAATGGCATGAAAAGAATATTCTCGTTCAACACGCTTTCGATCCGTCATAAAGATGTTTCGTTAGCAGCAAAGTGTACATCTAATTGACAGAGTGTTATTTTAAAGTATTTTCAACTCCTTATAAGACAACCTGCACATTTTCAGTTGTATTAATTTATGAGATGTCATAAACAAGTGTTTTCATCTTTCTTTATAACAAACCTCCGAATACCTCATAAGAAACTGTCAATCACTGCGTGAAGAGACAGTCCGGCTCAATGACGCCGTCAATGTTTACGTCAATCTGGAAAGTTCAAAATCTCGTCAAGAACTTTATAAATTCAACTAAGATTGATTTTGTATTCGTCAAGTTTTATAGTGGTATTAAAACAGTAAGATGCACGTTTAAAAAACATTTAAATATAAAAGCAAAGGATAACTATTTTGGCAAATGTTGAATCTAGGAAGTATGAAGATAACATCTATAAACCTCATATATAACGTGGGATGTTTTCTGCATCACTTATAATACATTTATATAACAAGCCGTTCTAATTATTTTCCAACAAGATGTTTTATGTGTTACTTGGGGAACGAATTCATCAATAAGAATATTTAAATGCAGCGCTTATTTTACGCATAAGAAGATATGTAAGGCATCATTTGAAACAAAAAATGAATGTTCGACAATAATAAAAACATGAATAAAACAATGTTTGCTTAACTACAAGTCCATGAGTCAACTTTTAACCAACCCAACCGAACCCAACCCAATCATTCTATTAAATTGGCGCTTCTGCATAAACCCATGTCTGTAGCCATCTCTGCTTAGTGAACTAATGCTTCCATCAAAAAGCCTTTAACTCTCCTTGGGCTCGATTCCCAATAGGAATGTTTCGAGTTGAAAAATTTGTGGTCTTCCGTGGCATAGAGTATGACACAATATATACAATTGGAACAGGCTTAAGAAGCTCTCACTGAGGATATGATCAAAGAACACAAAGTCTAAAGGAACAAGGTAATCCAAATTCCATCTGATACGTGTGAAATCAATTCAATAGTGTTCTTTACCAGTGCTTTTTTATAAAACACTTGAGCAGAGGATATTCTACCCGTATTTACCAATCTTCGACGCAAGAGAAGCTAGCTTCACCTGGACCCTTGATATTGAACCTATCAACACATGAGTCTTTAAATGGTTTATATTCTATTAAATTAACATCTCCCACCCGCATAGTGCACTCAAAACTTACGACTACTTAAAATACGGTGTTAAGCGTTGCTCACATTTTACCATGACCCGGTGAAATTATGCGCACTTTCAAACGATAATAAATGACGAACAGCAAGCATACACAACTGAAAAGCCCTCCCCCTCCTTTCATTGCTCCATCATGACAGATCCGGGGTACAATCTGAGTGACATGTTCCCTATTCTCCATCTTGGCCGTTCGTTTGCTGCATCTCGCACAGCGTATTTTAGATCTATTATTTAGAGCTAAGGCTGGTCTCATGCCGAGCTGATTCCGGTTTTTTCTTCCTTCGTTTTGGCAATTCCAGCTGCTTAATATGTGGGAAACGTTTGAATAGATAATCCAATTTGCAAAGTACCGCGCTTCTGCTTCTGGTGCTATACGGTGCGACAGTGGAGGCACTTGAAATAGATGGATTTAATGGCGCAGCTCACACTCGTTTGAAGTTACTCGGAATTTCCTGACAAAAAAAAACTGTCAAAAAGTCCCTTCCAGTTAACGAACGGGTCAGTGTAGTATAATCCACAGTGAACTGCTTCCATATTGAAATTTCCTTCCTATAACAATTTTCAATATATATATATATATATTTTTTTTAATTTCGTCATGTAGAAAATGCCAGGTGGATTAATCTTTTTAATAATCAATATTGTAAACAAAGATATCTTAAAAAGCTATTTTTTTTTTCTTTGCTTTGCTTTCGACCCATCAACTCATGAACCGAGGACCGTAAAGAATGCCAAAAAAAAAGCGTTTTGGACAAGTTTGGCTCAAATCGGTGACATCTACTACAATTTTTTTAAATTCTGTACCCACTTGAGCTGGAATGACCAATCAAAATGATGTCATAATTGAAAACTAATCAAGAGCTTTTTATGAGCGGCGCCGGTGGTGTAGTGGTAAGCGTGATTACCTCTCACCCCAGCAGGCCTGGGTTCAATCCCAGTCGGCGCCGCCGGGATGTTCTGAGGCATAGTATCTCTGATCACGCCTTCCTTCGGATGGGAAGTAAAGCCGCTGGTCCCCGGTTCATGAGTTTATGGGTCGATAAGTAGGGTCCAGATGTTGGGAGCTGCCTCCCTGGCGTCGATAGCATTGGTGCTCAGCACGGAAAACAAGATCGACGGAAAACAAACCAAAGGAAAAAAAGTAATATATTGATCCCATCTCTTGAGCTTTTCTGAATTGTATATTAGTGACTAGACGTTATTTTTTCAGCTTAAATAGATTGTCATAAATAAGTTACGAAAACCCGTTCATAGCAAACTGTGATACTTGGGTCGGTAATTGGTTATTTTTTGTGACGTAAGGATTTTATTTAAAAATAAGGATTCGGAAATATTAAAAATCAAAACGCAATTTACACCAATTGGATTATTTTTTTATTTATTATATGCTTTTTGTCTGGATCATAATTGTTAAAACCTGCATATAAAAAAAACATTTAAAAGACTCAAAAAATATCAAACAATTTTGGAAGCTTCTAACAAAAAAAAATATTGTCATAACAAAATTATTTGGAAATTATTCCATTACATTTCCACTCATTATGGTGACAAAGAATCATTGAAAGTATTCACTCTTTTTGTCTGTGTTTTCACTTTTGCATATGTAGACTAGCAGCATAAACGACTTAAAGAACAATTCAAAGCTCTTACGTCGAACATTCAACCTAATTTGTCCAATGTTCTCCAATGTGATGGGCTCACCCTTTTATGTTAACGCCTATGCTAAACCATCAAATATAACATATAATTGTCATCATTTTGTATACTTCTGAATACATAGAATTCTGCCTGAACAGCATCCAATTACACCACCAGCACGCAACACGTTTCATCCTCCGCGCAATCGGTTGCCGAACGTCTCAAACCTGCCACACCGCAATGAGTCATACATTCACCCAAATGTTCGGCACAAGTATGAATTGCGGTCGGTTTGTTTACTAGAAAGGTGAAGAAAAATACAAAATAATAGAAAACTGTTAGTACAATAGAAGATCAATTATCATTCCGGCAATGGTAAAGGTACCTCATTCGAATCTGCTATTTTTAAATAAGCATGTTATATATCATATGTTAGGTTTAATAAAGCCAATTCGTGCAATTTTACATCTTCTAGTGATGTCCCAGTTTATCATAAAGAAGTTTTACTTTCACTACTATTAATATGATTGAGTACATTCTTGCCAATAAACTGGGATGCCACTGTAAATTAGTTGATTAATTTGTAAGTTTGCAGTTGCTCACCTTACACGTCTGAAAAGCTTATCCATATAAAACTTATAAATCAACAAATAATCATAAGCTAACTTATCAATATCTTACTGAATTTGTACTTTGAGGAAGAGGAAATTTTGCCCTACAAAACTCAAATAAAACATTATTTCTTTTCGCTGGCACAGCAACTAAGCCCTTTGGCACAATCTGTGGCTGGCATGCGCTGCGTACGATGACACTGATCATCACATTTGCCATCATATTGATGGCACCTCAATCCTTGCGGCGGTGTCACTATAAAGAAATCAAACGTAAGTCTCTTCATCTCAATAAGCCAACTCCATTAAAAAGCAGTGGACGAAACATCATGAGGCCAATTGGTTCCCTTGGTTGTTAAATAATGTTCATTTTATTTATATCATAACTACCTTAAAATGTCACATAAATAAATACCAATTAGTCATTAAAACCCAACGTTAGAATTTTTCATTAAATCTTGAATGAAAGTTACACAAAATCATGATCTCTGGGGTAAATGAAAAAAGTTGCCCCCATCCGGGCAGTATGATTAACGATCTAAGTTTTCATCTTATTAGATTGGCACCGACGGGGGTTCAGGATTTCCAGTGACATCAGGTCCAGGGTAGCTCCGTTTGTCACAACACGAGCATTTAATGCGTCGCCGTCATCATCTTTATAAATCATCATCAACGCCTACAGCGGGCCCTCCCTCCTCACCATCACAAACCAGAATACCATTCAATACTGTCGGTAGGTGTGGGTAGGTGCTCAGCAGCAGGACAACAACTAATGCTGAAGCCGCTGTTAAGTTGAGAACTTTTCACATTTTCATGCTACACTTGCTGCACAACTTTTCACGGGGGCAAGCAAAAAAGAGCATGAACAAGTTCAGTCACTATGCGATCAATGTGATTGCTTTTTTTCTGTTCGCCCTGCTACTGGGAAGTGTTTGTTTGAGAGTAAATTTATCACATGTGGGCTTTAAGAATCTTCCCAACGAAATTATTGCGAAGAGCGATCGCAGAACCTATTCCAGCTAACATTTTCAGCTATATAAGCCAAATTTTACAGCGTTGTGCTGTAAAGTAACTGAAAACAGCTGCAGATACAGCTACAAGCAGAAACTAGAAAAATAGTGTTGGAGAGCGTTTACTGAAATTTTTCACAACCATTATTCATTTTGTCAGTCGCACTAAATAACTTCAGCCAATAAACGGTACTGTCACTTCAATACACATACTAGTCAACTTTTAACTTGTAGCTGCAAAACAAAGCAAATAAAGTGAATATATTACTCATTTGATGGCTTCTACACAACCAACCACTCTTGCTGAATAACAAAAACATCAAAAGTGCTTTTTCAACAACTAAACAACACTATGCATTTAAGAGTTAACCCGGCTTCAAGAGATAGCTGTGTAGTGATTATTGGATAACCAGGAAAAGGTTGAATAAGCGTCTTTCAAGTTCAGTCACAACTAAACAGCAGTATTGAAGCGTAAATGGATATGCAATAAGAGCTTGTTCACAACCGTCCCAATAGCCATCAGTAGCTGACTAAGTTCGCCAGATTTGCTTGAATAGAAGTTGAGTAAAGGTTTTCTCATATATTATAACATTTCAATACAGCTTGAGGCTGTATAAATGAAATGAGTAAAGCGTTCACATTGCGAAAATTGTTAGTTGGGATATCAGCCTGTATTGAAGTCGAATTCGATCAACTTAGATTCAACTCCACAGCCCTGGTTTTGTCTTCGCATACAAAGAATTCGCAAAGGCAGTTCAATTGCACATAAATACTGACTAAATAGAGCTTATTCTATTTTAAGATCGTGCTCAGTGCTGGGTGGATGGAGAATTGTTAGAGCTCATCAATCAAAGCTCTGGGACTGAGAGTAAACCATTCAACTTCAATGAGTTGCCTTCACATTTTGTCCTCATGAGTTACGGATAATTTCATAACAGGAACACTGATCTGGTAGCACAGATCACATGTGCTTTTCCTTGTGTTATCATCCACTTTTCGTTATAAATGAAGTGAACGATCAAAGAAACACCTTGAATTAATGCCAGTGAATTTAAGACTCAAATCTTTCAGATCTTTGGAAATTCATTGACATTAATTCAATTGCAGGTAATTAAATTTTATCAATCAATGATTTACTCATAAAAGAGTTTTCTTTTCTTTCCCCCCAGGACTGTTATCTGACCACTCAATGTGCTAAATGCGCTGATTTTCTGAAATCCACTAAGTTAGAATCACGGAAACACAAAGTTTGCCCTGTGTAATTATAAAGCAGCGGATAAGAGAATAAAGACACACACCCAGAAATAACAAAAACTAAATGTGTAGCTATCGGAAACCATGTAAATAGACTGAATTCTTCTTCGTAATGCACTTCTTCAACTCCCATAGACTTTTCTACCAAAGTTCTCGATGAACATTTCAAATGATCCTATCTGCTTTGATCGATTTTCTTCATCGACTTTCTCTTTCCATAACCACTGGTATGCTGCAAACAGATTTCGCGCTAGTTCTACCACATAATTTGATAAAGGAGGATCTTATCTAGCGTCCAAAACGTCAAATAGAACAAGGAAAGGTTTTGCACCTGAGTTATTGACGAAAGCGAAAGTCGATGAAAAGAATCGATCAATGCAGATAGGACCTTTTGAAATTTAAAAAAAAAATCCCGAAAATTTCTTTTTGGAGTTTTTTTTTATTTATTCAAAGGGAAATGTTTCTCAGAGTCTTAAACTATGTTAAATAATCATCGATCGAGTTTTCACTTGCTGCAATTACGGCCTCCACACGCTTCCGGAATGCATGGCAGGTTCTAATAATGTAGTCTGTGTAGTAGATAGAGTTAGAGTTGAACAAATAATGAGTAGAATCGAGTGAGCGTGAAGCATGATAGTCCGTATGTAAACGGAATCTCATTGGTTAGAGAATTTTGATAGGTTAGCAGGTATAAATATGAAGTACCTAAGCTCGTTGAAGTCATTCTTGTAACGAATTTTGGAGGTGACGGACCACCACCAGCAGCAGAAACAGCAGCAACAGAAACAGCTGCAACAGAAACAGCAGCAAAATAAATTTTGGAGGTGACGGACCACCACCAGCAGCAGAAACAGCAGCAACAGAAACAGCTGCAACAGAAACAGCAGCAAAATAAATTTTGGAGGTGACGGACCACCACCAGCAGCAGAAACAGCAGCAACAGAAATTTTGGAGGTGGCGGACCACCACCAGCAGCAGAAACAGCAGCAACAGAAACAGCAGCAACAGAAACAGCAGCAACAGAAACAGCAGCAGCAGCAAAAACAGCAGCAAAAAGAAAAAGCAGCAACAGAAACAGCAGCAGCAGCATAAACAAATGACCCGTGGGAGCTGCATCGCTAATTCGTGTAGCCGTGACCAAGGCTGGAAACCTCGGTCCGGTCACGACAGTCTGGATCCATTTCTCTCCAGGTACGAGTCAATGTTTGTCTGAGGCTTGCTGTACTCGGGTGGCGTTTAGAACAGGCCTTGGCCTTCATGACGCGCCTTATTGAGTAATCCAGCGGATTAAGATCGGGGCTAGATGGCGGCCACATATCCTTCGCCCAGAACGGAAGATGTTCCTGCAACCACTTCTGAGTGCGGCTCGAGGTGTGGCACGGAGCCCCATCTTATTGAAATACAAAATTTGGCTTCCGACCGTACTGTTCTTTGATCCACGGAAGAACATACTTACTTAAAATCCCCATGTAGACCTCCGTGTTGACCTTAAATCCTTCTGGAATGAACACCGGGTCCATTTTTTGCCATCGGAAGCCACCAATCCAAACACCATAACGCTAGCAGGATGCTTGATCGGATACACGTTCTTGTGCTCGTCGGCCACGTCTTTTACCGGAAGAGAACTAATATACCGGTCGGTTCTGCAATTTGATACGGGATCGACGGTAAACATGCTCTCGTCGGTGAAAAGGATTACCGAATTTTCAAGATTTTCTTGCATCGTTCGACTCGTAGCTCCCGGATGCGGTTGGTAATCATGTGAGTTTTTTTTTCCGTGCCCTCGACTTCGCCCCGCAATCTTCCTTTACGATCTTCCGTGCCATAAAGTCACTGATCCCGTGTTCCTTTGCCATTTTCTTTATTTAACGCACTGGTTTTACCCGATTCTTCCTTTTGATAGCAGCGATAACACTCGGAACCCTAGCTGACCTAGGATGACCTGTGTCCACCTTTGCGGATAGTTGTCCTTTCTTTTCTCGGTCTAAAACCCTTTTGACGATCCACCGGGACACTCCCACGGCGATTTAAATGTCTTTTTGCGACATTTGCGCGTGGGACAAATCACGAATACGCTGCCACTTCGTCATGGTGCAACTGTCAAACTAAGTAAATCATTTTCTTTTATACACAACCTACTATGGTATGAGCTATAGGTTACGTGCATGCAAAGAAAACCAAGGCATTGTATGCACAGGTGAAACGGGAACCTTATTTGTACGATGGTGCAAACATTATCACGCATACGGTAGCGTTAGTATTAGTGAGCAGTTTCACTAACTCATGCCACAAACGAAGTGACAGACGGAGCGGCTCGAAAGCTTTGGTGACGCACCTGCTATTGCAATTTTTCAGTGTACCACATGGCAACACCACTACTACTGGATTGTACCACATGGCAACACTACTAATGGATTGTACCACATGGCAACACTAAATGTACTAGAATGTTTTGGTTCTATCTATATCACTCTATTCTAAACTGAAATGCATAAAAAAAAAATGACAAAATGATACACTCTTTGCACACTGTCAAAGATCATATTGCACACAAAATCAACTATGTTCAAATCAAAACAAAAATACTAGCCCATTTGGTGGCTGATGGCACAAGTTTCTAAGAAAATTCTATTACAGCGAACCACATTATTTTAATTGATTTCTTCGCCAGTTAGTCGTCTGTCACTTCGTTTGTGCTCATGCGTTTTACTAACTGAAAATAAATAATATAATAAAAACCGCTGTCAAGTTGAACACTTTGACGGTGGATTTCGTGGTTGAAAATAATAAAAAAAATCCACACTAGCAACTTGCTAGTACCAAGGCTGTATCTGGGCAGGAATTTGATTTAAAACTGCCAGGAGTGGATATACCAGGATTTTCGTTTCGAGCGTGCACGATCGCGACGTGCTTGCTCCGGTGAAACCATGATGTAAAAAATTAACTTATCCTGACAAGCAATACCTACTGTGATTCTATACCTTCTGAGCTTGATTCAATGAATTTAAAAAAAATACTCAAAATGCCTTAATGACAACTTTTTAGCGCCCGGATCTTTTCGTGTACAAACTTTATACGCCAAGCAATTTGCAATTTGTTGGCTGATAAGAGAAACTTTCGTTACTTCTGGGACCATGAACCAGCAAATCTAACAGGAGGAGTGCAAACGGACTCGGCTACTGTTTTTTTTTCTAGAGCAGCATGAGGTGGATTGTCTATTCTGGCCGGACTTGCCAAGCTGCCACTACTCAATTACATTAAACAGAATGCAGATTTAGATTAGAAATTGAAACTTTAGACTAAAAGTCTCTTCTACAAAGTTGTTCCTCATAGTTAGGTCCTCATTAATTAATGTGTTAATGAGGATTAGAATTAATTAATTCTAGGGTGGTTTTTATTATCATTGAAACCAAAAATCTAACTTTTTTTTTAAAGAAGTTAAGGCATACATTCTTTGGCAAAGTCCTAATTTTAAGCAACGTTGTTAAAAAAAAACTTCTTGTATCTCTTAAATTGACCGATTTAGAGCTATTTTCTTGAATTGAGTTAAGGTGTCTCTAAAAAAGAAGTTGTTTTGCTTTCGTTTTATTATTTCAAATTTCTCAGCAAAGATGTCTTCAATAATTTTTAGATCTTTTGAAGGCGCAATTTTTTGCTGCACAAAGCTTGTCGATGTCTTTCGCCGATCAAGAGTTATTGAAGTTTTTCTACTAAAAATATGCCCTATTCAAATGCTAATATCTCTGGCTGAGGCAAAAAAAAAGGTAAAACATTTTCCGAGACAACAAATAACAATTTGCTGAGCTATCAGCTAACAAAGCGATATTTTTAAGAGATATCAGCAAAAGTAAATGCCGAGGTAATAAGCTATTGGAGATTTTACCGAGCTAGATTAAGTGTGTAGCATGCTAAAGAGTCTCGAGTATCCGTTTCCTTGATCTCTATTAAGAAATGTTGATGGATTATGTTTAAATATTTCTAAACTTTCTACTACGTCTAGTTTCCAAGGCGGAGTGCATAATATTAATGTTATTCTTTGTCAAAATGTGCCCCTTTGTAAAGATATGTTCTGCAACCTTGGATTTGAATTCATAATGAAGTCCTTTATCCATCTCTTTGTTATCCTTTTTTACCTCTGCGATGTGTTCCTTAAACCTTGTTTCTAAAGTCCTTTTCATCTGACCAATGTAGATTTTATTGCAATCTGGACAAGAAATTTTGTAGACTCTTGGTTTCCCAAAGTCATTTATTGAATATTGTGTTGATCCTACCTTCAGCTGATTTGTCCTGCTGCTGAATACTAAATCTAAGCCAAAACTTCTAAACATGGCAGTAGATACCTACTGATGCTTAGTACCTATTGATTAGTATATAACTCGTAGATAAAAGATGGATTCTTCAGTGGTGTTGAGTACTTAGCACTGATAAAGTCTGCAAGTAGTAGACGAAATACGCGTATCTGTCAAAAGATAAGCAATTATAACGAAATTAAAAGGAAATAAACCAACACACTCAAAGCTCTTCATAAAGGGATTCCGCTAAGCGGTTCGACACATTTAAAAGATTAAAAAAAAAAGTTTCTTACAGCATTTGCAAGGGCGTATGTTATTCTCAATAACATGAAAAGGTTTTAGAGGTATTTTATTTTTTAAACTCGCATAAAATCAATTTGAATTTATCCATATTTTTTACTACAATTGGGGGGTATCTTTTTTTAGAAGAGATACAGACAACAACTTTTGCTTTAAAACATTCGTCTTGAAGAGCTTTAAAAGTCGCTAGAAGATGACTTTGCAAGCTGTAAAAAAACTTTTTTTGTTTGCCTCAACATTTGCAAAGGGCATATTTTAAGTAGAAAAACTTCAATAACTCATGATCGGCGAAAGATATCGACAAGCTCAGTGCAGTAAAAATTGATCAGACTCGAACTTCTCCAATTTGCATGAAACTTTGCAAAATTCTTTGTTATGGGCAATCATTAACTGTTGTGCGCAGGCATGGAAAATCATTTACATTCATTTCATGCAATCATTTACATCCATTTGCCTCTAACTTTTTTCATCAACAGCAATCCGCGAAATGATGTATAGAGCTTTAGTAGGATTTGTTAATAGCTACAACTTTTGCCCATAACTCAAATCTGTATCTCGTATGCCTCACGAATTAGAGCGGGCAGAACTTGTTACTGTTTTTCAGTGAATATGAAATTTGGCATCACGGCGTAATATTTGACAGTTCTTGTTTCAGGAAGCGTGCGCATCGCACCATTCTGTTTTGTTTGCGTCATTTAAAAAGTGAAAAATATCGATAAAGCAGATTTCGCTCGATGTTAGAAATTTGGTGATTCGCGATCGTGAAAACGGAAAATTTGCCGAAAAGTACTCGATCTCAGTTGGAGCTGTTCAGCACATATGAAAAAAGTACGAAACACGAGGAATTGTGAGGAGTTTATCCGGACAAGGACGTCATCGTGTGACAAGTAATTGTTCGAATGGCTAAGCAGAATCCGAAGTATTTGTCGAGGCATTTTGTGGAATCGATGGATCTCAATGTAAGTCGACGTACTGTTCGCCGGCGACTTAATGAGAGTGGTTTGAAAAGCTGTTTGGCATCTAGCATCCTTTTATCAACAAGTGGAACCAACGGAAGCGACTGGAATTTGCTAAAAAGTACGCCGGAATGACTGTGGACTTCTGGAAACGAGTTCTGTGGACGGATGAGAGCAAACTTGAGTTATTTGGACAGAAAAGGCGATCAAGAGTTTGGCTAGGTTCCAGTGACGCTCTTAAGGAACCATACATTCAAAAGACGGTTAAACACGGAGGCGAAAATATCATGGTATGGGGAGCATTTGCGGGATCTGGTGTTGGAAGCTTGGCTGATATAAAGGGAATAATGACTGCAGATGTGTACATTGACTTGTTAAGTGAAAATCTGGAAGTTTCGCTACTGAAAACTGGCCTGGAATCCAATTACATTTTCCAACAAAATAATGACCCAAAGCACACAGCGAAGAAAACAACGGTATTTTACAAATCAAATCGGATCAAAACGCTGAAATGGCCTCCCCAATCTCCCGATCTTAACTCAATTGAGAATTTGTGGTCTTACTTGGACAACAAAGTGGATAAAGCATTGGTTTCCAACAAAAACGTTTATTTTGAAGCACTTGAAGCAGCGTGGGAGAATATCAATTCAGGATATCTACAAAACCTCGTCGAAAGTATGCCAAGACGGTTGGAAGCAGTATTGAAAGCAAAGGGTGGTCATACCTAATACTGAGAGTGCTAAAATGTAAGTTGAAAGTTGAATTAAACAAGAATTTTCAATAAGAAATCAGGCGTATGATTTATTTTGTCCAACTCGAAATTCTCCTTTTACAAGTTATAAATGATGATTGAGAAAGTCATACAATATATTGGATATTCTATACCTGCACAGTTTTAGCGAAAAACATATAGAAGTATTGCAGAACAAACCATTATTGTATGTTTGAATCTACCTGATGTATCGAGCTCCAAAGAAAAATTATATGGGTGTATGATTTATTTTATTCACTACTGTAGATCTCATGCAAGATCTAGACACTGATTCTAGAGATTCAACACGATTGTAAATTATTGGATGCAGTAATATTAAATTCTGAATATATATATCAATTGGATGTTAATTTTTATGTAATTATGATGAAGTTAGAACGTATTTTGAAATGAATGCAATAGTTTGAAACACGAATCTAAAGCAACGTTAACAATTGTCAGTTAATCATGCCTCCAAATTACATGCAGAAAATATTAATAAAAATAACCTTCATAACAGCATTCGACGCCCCGATTAGCATTCTCAGGACAAAGTCCTTTGATGGCGGTATGAGACTGGCAGTCGCTTGAGTGAACGCAAAGTCCACCCTGTCTGGCACACGCTCGTTCCATTTTGTACACACTTACACCCTGGAATGCTAAAATGAGATTTAGGAGAGAAAATAATTAATCTGACATGTTTCGAAGGTTCGTCCACTGCCGCAACGGACGAAAGCCACACGAGTATAATATGTGATCCAACCCCATAAACAAAAAAAAAACAAAAAATACATCAAGATAATCATGTGCCCTACTTGCCAATTTATGGTCATTGATCAGGCGTTTCACAGTGTAAAGCTTATTTTTACCTATTTTAGGAGATTTTCTACCTAATTTTCCATTGAATTCGGTAAATCCAAACACTTTTTCGTCAGCCATTAAATTTAGATGTGTTTCGTTTGCTTGTTTTCATCTGGAAGTTTCACCAATAATTCCTGACCATGAAATCATATATTGATTCTGATACAGATTCTTTAAAAAATATGTTTTGTGCAAAACATGACACAGTTTTTAAAATCATTGACTACAAATCAAGCTTTCAACAACATATATTGCAAAACAATGGAATGAATTCACTTTTCGTATCTATTTGAGATGTTTAACTTTATGAATAACAGTTAAGCACTCTATTGAGACATTATTTCTGATGGTAAATAAAGGAATAATCAATTAAAACACCTCATTCATTTGTATGCTCTACTTGCAGTTTATGGTTTGTCTCTTCAAGTGGTGCATTTTACCACAATGTTGTGGTGTGTTTTGTCCATTGTTGTTGCACCTTGGATTAGGCGTTTTACCCCGCTATTGTTTTGGAATCGATTTAAAAAATGCCTTGAAAAACCCTTGTTTTGAAGTTTTAAATCGCTCGATCTTCGTATACAACTTTGTAATGAACCACACTCAATTATTTTCTCCGTAATGCATACGCAAGCAATCGACGATTTTGCTTAGAGGGTGATTTTTGCACCATTCTACCCTACCACATCTTAACAATAAAGTTATAAAAAATCGAAAACAACATTTGCCTAACTGAGTACAACTTATTTCACGATCGATTTGAATAAAATTGAATTGACATGAAAGTGTTCAGCATTCATCAATCTCTGTAGGTAATATCGGCCGCTGTTTTCACTCGATTCCATCATTGTCGGCACCTTAAAATCAAATCAAACAGACAGATTTTAGGATGTGCAAAATATACAATAAAAAAACGCCTTTCACCGGGAAAACCACTCACAGCCAGCCACTTCCTACCAGAAACGGATCAATAGCGTTCGTTCAACACGTATACCTCCATCTATGAAGCATTTGGGCGATGTCTATGCGGATTATGGTAGCACAAAATCTCCGACCAAGATCAAAAACGACTTCAGTCTATCCTATCCTCAATTTCAACGTAAAACATTTTTGACAGACACCCACAATGTAGGTATAGGCAGCAGCTATACACGTATCCTACAACAAGCAACCAGCAGCATTATGCTTGCCATTGCTTGTACTCTCATTATAAGAGGCTTTAGTGGGTGCTGGAAGAGTGTTGTGCTGCTTTATCCACACACACCACCAATAGCAAATTCAACAACAGGAGCTTGATTGCGGATGGTGGAGTGTCTTTGCTGTCCGTTTTAACGCTGTTGAATGGTGGCGAAACAAAAGCTTTTTACACCCCGACAACAATAGCAAATATTTGTTCGACGGATATTTTTCACGGACTGCCCGCAAAGCACAAGCGCAGAAAGAACGGTGGCATTGCGGGGGGATGGATAAACGCTATCTGTTTATGGGTGAAGAGTGGTCAATTTTAGACAGCGTTGATGGCGTGAGCAGTAATGGCAACCGGTGATTGCTTCCATAAAGATAGACGATATCGTGTGTTGTGACATAATCGATTTCTGAAAGCATAGCTTTTGGAATTTTACTGAAAATACACTGTATTGTTGCGGCACCGGTGCCCTTAGATTTTTTCGCAAGTTTTCTCACACATACGTCTCATACCGATGATTTTGAAATTCTACAGACTCAACAAGATATTGTTCCGACTAAATTTTTGCAATCGTAGAGCTGCGTAGAGCCCCTTCTAAACAACACACATGTTATATAACCTTTGTATGACTGATAAATAAGGATTTGTACGATATCCTGATTTATCATACGAATCCATGTAGCCTCGTGGACCTGTTTTTGAAAATATTTTAGGCACTGCAAAGTGCCTCAATTCCATATCAAGAAGCTCTTCAGCATCACTGAAGTCTTTCACGTTGTATCGATTTACTGTATGATGTCATCATATTTTTATGAATTTTAGTGCATCATTAAGAACATATAATTTTTTTTTAAGTACATCTGAGCCGAATTTCTGTGGATGACAAGTTTATGGTTAGATCTAGTCACAAGCATAAAATCACCTCAATCGCGTGAGGAACATCATGATCTGAACTCGAGGGCAATTTGAGGATTGGAATATATTTTGTTAATACAAATTCTTATCACTATTGATATGATGAACAACGTATGATACATCTGGACATCAAGCAACATTGTGTTGAGTCCGTAGAACATCAAGACCCAATCCTCAAGATAACTTGGAGATCCCAAAATATGTTGTCATTACAACTACATATCCCACATTATGTAATGGGACTCCACAAAGCTTTCTGGGTTCACACATTTAGTCAAGACATCACCCAATACTTAGTTGAATCTGAAAAACGTCAAGATCTTAACTCCAGGACTATTCGGAGAATGAAACATATTTTGATAACACCGTTATATGCCTCACATGATGTAACGAGGCTCTATGATGCTGGTAAACCTGTTGGTACGTTGTTCAAGTCACAACTTGAAAATCTAAACTTCAGGGTGATTTGTAGAACCAGAGATTTTTTGTCAACTTAACAATGTATTCTATAGAATAATTTTGGGCTTAATGAAGCTCTAGGGCTCAAAAAATATGATCGGGTACAATTTAGAGACATCATATAATGCTTGTTTGAACATGTAGAACTTCACGATAAATTTTATTACCATGTCGGTCCTGTTTATGTCTCCAGGTTTGAGATATGTCTTTTTGGTCTTACTGTTACAACGGCTCGTTATTTGAAGAAAACTCTGCAACTTATTGCTGGTTTATTATTTCCTGAGGTTTTGGAGAATCAGGGCGTCCAAAACACTTTCTTAACCGATTCGTTCCGTCGGGTTCATATATGACCCCTACACAAAACAGGCTGTCAAAAATCACTGTTTCAAGGTAATCATATAGATTCTTCAGTAATAGTGTTCAAAAATACTTCAATTATTGAACAAAAATAATAACCTGGGATAACAGTGATGTTTGTCAGTCTATTTTGTGTAGGGGTCATATATAACCCCGACGGAACGAATCGGTTAAGAAATGTTTGTTGTTATGTTTATGTGACTGTATACCAACTGCCGAGTTGAATATGACAATGAGGTTGAATCTGTAATTGATAGTTCTTTTTTTGGGTTTTAGTCACCTTAACATATTGCCTTGTCCACCGACAAACCGAAATGAATGACCACAGAAGTTAACAGTGTTGGCAAAATATAAAAAAAAATCAAATCTCACCAATGCCAAAGATCACGCTTGATTTTCATAGACAAATATCAGCAAACAAGCTACTGCGGATGATATTACACGCCGTGATATCGTAGCTACTAATGACAAGCTAACAAATCTCAACAGCTGCAATTCTAACCAAACCGTGGTGCGTTTGAGTTTCATGATTTTCACTTTACATCCGACCACGACCCGAAACTACCGTCACTGCTGTCAGCAGTAGCTTCGTGTCTGCCATTGTCGAAGAGTAAAAAGAGATAGCAAACTAAACTTTCCCTTTCTAATAGCCAGTTCCAACCCGTGCGAACACGAGCTTATTGTCAGTGCAAACCTCAACCCGAGCCAGGTTACAAAAAACAAACGTTAACACTGACGTTTGGAAGGAAACAAGCAGACCCAATCTTCAACTTCATACCCAATCCAGATTGGAACTGAATCAAAAACAGATTCAATATGAGAAAACGATGTGCAACGGAATCATTTTTGTGTCGAGTAAACTCTCAGGTTGATTTGTGCACGTTGTGAATAGTCTCGCAATATCAAAGCAGCTTGTAAAATCAATATCAGGCATAATATTTTGTTGCAATATCACGCGTGCTATTGAGAGCGTATGACAGCGGACAAAAATTGTTTGCGGAAAACGTTTAGCTACACAGCAAAAAAATAATTTTGATATCACGTCAAAGTGGATGCACTACAATCATGTCGAAAATATGGTGTAATATTACTTGCTAAAAAGGACAAAATTATCATTAATACAATGCATGAACTGACATTACGCTGCTTTTACTGCATTTGTTTATTTATGTGGTCATAAAAATTACATGAAATTTTCGACATGATTGTAGTGCATCCACTTTGATGTGATATCAAAATTATTTTTTTGCTGTGTAAGCAACTAAGATGCGTTCAAAATTTATGGATTAGTTTGTGTCTGATATGCTGGACAAATTATGTTTATCTAGATAAAAATAATAGCCGGCACCGGTGGTGTAGTGGTAAGCGTGACTGCTTTCTAACACTCCAATGGGTCTGGGTTCAATCCCAGCCGAGGTCGGTGGGATTTTTCTGAGGCATAAAAATCTCTGGTCACGTCTTCCTTCGGAAGGGAAGTAAAGCCGTTGGTCCCGGCCCATGTGTGTTGTGAATGGGTGTGATATCCTACGCAGGTGTAGAAGCTGCCTTCCTGCACATTCGGTTGCCGTCAATGGATGGCAATCGATGTCCGTCGGTGATTGGCACTAGATTGCGGAACAGAGACCGACGTTAAATGAAGGAAAAGAAGTAGATAAAAATAATAATCCTATGGTTTGACGGATTATCTGATTTGAAGTACTTGAGGCAATCCTGTTTTGTTTAAATTTGTTTTTCCAACCTGCTCTTATTTTAACGCACTAAATAAACTAAATCTATTTACGACTCCTCATATTTGCGAATATGTTAATGGAAGTGATCAATATTGTGGTCATCATTGAAATAAATATCCTGAGAATTATTTCCATGTTTGTGAAAATCTCATTT